TGACCAGAAAGATCTGCAGTAAGTCTTGATGAGTTCTCAAGATCTAGTCTTGTTATATGTGACTTATGTTAACCGGGAACTTACACATAACATAAACGTCTTCCAGAGGTAAGTAGTTCTTAGGAAAACACAAAGCAGTACTCCGAGGAATACAACTAAGGAAGCATTAAGGCTTGCCAAATCGTTCGTTTTTTCATTCCCTTCATTATTCCTATGCCCACTAATCCAAATGATAGTGACATCAGCTGGATTTAGATCGCCAACCGTCTCTCTACATTTTTTCAAGGGCTTTCATTGTCGCTTGTCGGTCTTTCAAAAAGGCAGGCTATATCTGTTCTTGCTGTGACTTGTAATTTGCCGACACATCTCTTTAATCACTAAAACTTCTGCCTGAAAAACCGTGGCTTAACTAAATCACCTAAGGGAGTGATTTATCTGTGCAAATGGAATGAAAAAAACTTTTAGTTGCTTAAACTTAGGTTCTCCGAAGATGCACTAACTCGGAAAAGACTCAACTCAACAACTCTACAATCCATTGATACATTATCAACATAATTGTATAGTACTCTATACTCCTCATATATTGACACCACATTATATCAAGCATCCTTCTGGAGAGAACCTCTACTACTCCACTGTATCATGCAATTTTTCAATTGCGTTGTTTTTTTCTTTGTGGCATATAGAAGAGTTTGTCGGTGTTGAAATGAAATTTTTCGTTAATGGTTGTGAGGTGTAACATATTTGTGCATCTGCTCGCTATTCACTACATCTTCACAAACTACACTAAAGCACCTATCAAAATATACGAGAATAAGTTTGTTGTACATGAAAAACTTGTGTCATTGTTTCAGTTGCGAGCTGTGTGCGTAATATTTCAGCGAAATAGTTGCAATGTATCTTTTGTGACAGCAAATTGCATTACTTACAATCTTACAATGGGAGAGGCGGATCTATTGATAATGTGTGAGTCACTTAGTTAATGAAGCACGTCTTCGAATTGTTTTAATTACACTTTGCACTGCTACTACATTATCATTGCCGCATAATTGCATCAGAAAATGAAGTCAATAACCTAAGAATGATTAAACAAAACAATTGAGATACTTTGCAGTCTATATTTTTTTGTGTAAATAATTCAAAAACTCTTGCCAGAGAACGTGCTTTATCTAGTCAGTTACTTATGTTAAGTTAGTTAATAACAAGATTGTTGACGTGTTTTTTATTTGTCAAATGTTGTTATTGTGGTGATGAGTTCATTTTATTGAAATTTTTATTTCAGATACGATGTTTTTTTAAATAATTACACTGAGAAAAATATATTTTAATTTTAATAATTTTTGCTAATTTTATATTAAGAAGAATGAAATCTGAAAAATTTTATTTTGATTGTGTTAAAAATGTAATGCTTTAAACTCTTATGTTGAGAATACTTGAGTTTTTGACTACAATAAATATAACTACTATAAACACTTTCATGATGCTAGCCACTAGCTTTGGCAATGCCAGCCACTTAATAACAACACAAAAGTAATTGCATCAATCATACGACATTTCGCTCAGTGTATTATTTTACACAACTTGGGTAAGATGTTGAGGTGACTTAGATAATAAATAAAGACATTAACTATAATATAATTATTGTAAAAAGATATATTCATATTTTTTGTTTTAATATTAAGATTTGTTTATTCAGTTAGAAATGTTATAAATATATTTTGAAAGACTATTGACGATAAAGCCAAAGACAAATATATTTAGTAGTAAAAATTTAATATAATTATTAGTTTTATACAATATCGATGTACAGGATCGTAGTCGCTTCGGTTACTATCAAATACTCTGCATCTGTTACATTTACCTGGAAATTATTTACATTTAATTGTGGTTAGTTAAATAGATTACATTAGATAAAGATTGAAATCTTCTATGAGAATTTATATAAGTTAGCTATATAAGTTATTTATATAAGTCATTGAAGGTGAAATGTAACAAACACGAAAAATTTTCATGTAGCTAGTATATCCATAGAATAATAACTGCTTCAGATATTACCAAATACTAAGCATCTCTTCTTTTTAATTTGAAATTTATTTTTTCTAAATTTTTTTCGGATACTATTAAATACGCAGTATCTATAATATTTGTTTTACCGTATTTGCACGTAATTGACTTGAGTTAAATAGACTGGATTTGTGCAGATAAAGTCTTTAAATGACCATCTATATATCATCTACATAAGTCTTTACAGATGAAGTGTAGTAAGGTTGAAAATTGCTTAAAAAAACTAACGTCTGTTATACTCAAGGAAGTAAGTAAGTAAGCATGATCATAGCATCATAGCTTTTTTGGATACTACCACATACTAACCACATGTTTAGTTAAATAGATTACCATTGATAAGAACAGAACTCTGCCAATATTCTGATCATATATACAACTATGACAAAGCTGATAGTCTGTTAAAAGTGCACTTAGAAAAATAATTTGGTTGATTTAACCAGATTTTAACTAAATCTCAGGAAAAAGTTTTCTTACTCGACGTATCAGGTTAGTTTAACCATACAACTTGTTGGTTTTCATATCTTCTTTACCACACGAATTAAAATTTCTCTAAGAATCAGGACAATTTAACTAGTATGTGGATAGAGCATACAGATTTTAATACAGATTTTCTTCTACATCTCCGCAAAACAGAGCGGTCTTTTTGGATGAAAAATATGCCAATTTCATCTTGTGTACAAAACATATAATTTAACAGCATGTGAAGATCCATCCATATTGACTTGAATAATTTGAGTATATTTAAAATCGCCTACCTCAGTCTTGTGTAAAATGAAGTAAATTTGGAAGATCAAGCGAGTGCATATAATATTTTAAAATGATTTATTTGAATTAAAGCTTGAGATAGTTGACACAATTTTGCAGTTCCCAGTTATTATTCAACCTCGACTTTTTAGTTCTTTAACATTACTATGCCGAAGTTGTCTATATACTTATAGATAAATAAGAGGGATATGTCCTTAAAATTATAAAGAAGAATATTTTTTTTAAGTCAACATTAAATATTAATTGCGGGTTACCAGTATTTATCTCTAATTTCAAATATTTTATAAAAAATGTTGTTTTTGAAAAGCTTAAAACCTATGATGCTTAAAAATGTGTGCTCGGTTAAGTCATAAATAATCACGTTAATTACTCTGGAAAAACTGGAAATTTTTGTGTTGATACCAGACAGGTTTATATATATATGCAAATACACAAATAAACATATTTGAAAAACACGCAAGTCTGAAGTTTAAGTTTCGCATTAGTTCTAATCAAATTTTTCTAATTATATACTTATTAGCTAAAATAGTTATGTGATTTCATTTTATTTTTTTTTTTTTGCATATATGCATCAAATTATAATTTTGATACTTAGATATATAGTATATCTATCTTAATTTGCTCAATAATTTTGAAACTACAGAAAGTTGACAATGAAACGTATTATATGTTAGATATGCATAACATATAATTATATATATCTGCTATTTAGATATATGTATATCTATCTGAATTTGATCAACAATCTTTAAATTTCAGGAATAGAAAGTTACCAATGAAACTTAGTATATATTAGATATATATGACATATATATCTATGATAGATATATATCTATCTAAATTTGATCAATAATTTTTAAATTACGGGAATAGAAAATTGCCAATAAAAATTGTTATTTTATTTATTTTATGTTTGATGTAATCTTAAAGATTTATTTACTGTACGAGAATTATACTTATAACACAGAAGTTTACAATCCATCCGTTAGATGAAGTATGTGGGTTTCGTTAAACATTTATATCTTTAAACTGTTACCTGTAACGCCTTAAATCTGAAGCTAAATAACTTGTATTCTACCTAAGGGGTACATATAATTTAGGTATATATATAAAGAAGATTATATTTTTAAAGAATTGATATATTTAAAATGAAAAATAGAGGACTCATAAAAAAAAAAGAAATAGAAAGAAAATGAGAAACGCGTCAATAGCAGATAGCAGTGATGTTTACTTAATATGCATTTGAAATTTTACTATCTGTTGACTTTATTAGCAATGCTGAGTGGATAAAAGTCCTTGACGCTATCAAACATCTTGTATTATTTGTTTTAAGTACAATGACTTCAGCATTTCACCCTAATTTCATAAAGGCACGTTGTCAGTGCCAGACAATACAATACAGAAATACAGAAAATACAAAATAGCTTTGCTTAGAAATCGAGTGTATATTGTGTGCAGTTGGAAAGGATACCGTATTCTATTCATTCCGTCTTTCTGCGGAATTAAAAGGAAGCCAGTCTGACACGCTATGCCACAAGCATTTAAAGCAGCCCCAATGCAAAATAACATTCCTGCTTCGAATTGAAAAAAGTAGAAATTAATAAAGAACAACATTCATTTCAAATTCAAATTCATAAATAAAACAATGGAACAGTTGTATTAAATGTGCATTGACATAGGTTAGGGATAGTATTGACAATTGAGAATACAAGATTTGTAAAATGTCTCTATATATAAAAATTAAAATATTACATTTAGGGTAATCAGTACGAACAGATTTGTTTAACTGCCAAGTCATTTAAATGATTTGAAGAAATGATTTAAAATGTTTATTTGTATTCGTTTGAAGAGATAATAAGTGTTCTTGAGGCTTAATTCTTATGTTTAATGATGAATATATTTTTTCAAAGTTATATTTTAATTGTTTAAAGACTACCAAATCTTTTTAAATAAAATTGTTGAAGTAACTTATGTGAAATTTTTTATTATATTTAATTGTTATTAATAAAACTAACCTAAATTCTAATTTATTGACGTAATTATTTATAATTTGAGTTTTAGCTTTATTATATTATATTTCAGAATGATATAATTTTCATTACTAGTTCAACAATTTTTCCATTTCCATAAATAATTTATTTTTATGCGACTCAAAGGACCACATTACTTACCATTAACTGATTCTTAATGGAATTTCGAATAGCCAGCCTCGGGGTTTTGTTTTGTTTTTGTTTTTCTACAGAGAAACTGTCAAAAATATTCACCCCAAAATTTTTGGTTGTTATTAGAATTTTGTGCGAGTTTTTGTATCTGAGCGTACACAATTCACCCTCCACATTTTGGGTTCTCTTGAAATTATTTGCTCTGTTCTCCTCTCAACAAGAAAATCAGCTGTCAAAATTATTGTATTTATTTGTGCAAACAAATTTGTTCAACTTCAGTCTAACACAAACATCCATTAACTTTTTTTAACTAAAATTTTTTTTTTGTTAATTCTATTATTATTATTTTTTGTGAATTTTTGTAGTTCACATAATCTTCTAAGACAAAGTGTTACACAATTTTTTGATTTAGAGACTGCATATTACACCGCACCCTTCCTTTTATTAATAAAGTAAATTTTTAATTTATTTTCTTTTTTTTAAATAAAAATACAAATATTTTTTGTGAATTTTTTACTACTGCTTTCTGTTTGGTTTGATTAAAATAGGTCATACGTTCTATTAAAATTAAGCAATTTTTATTTACTTTTTAAATTATAAGTAAAATCACTGAATTGCTTATACAAATTGATAGACTGTATTATTAAACGCCTAAAAGTATACATTATTTATAGCAACACTATTTGAAGTTTACACATTACAATTTCACTTTACAAGCTCTGCCGTTCAGAACGACATTCTCTCTGGCAGTCCACGAATGAACTGATTTCTTGTTTTGCATGCATTTACTCAGCACGTTTTGTTGTCGTTGCGAGTGGGAAGTGTTTCTGTTGGGCAATAAAAAAATAGTAGTAAACGAAAATGGCATGTAGATTATAAATAGTACTCAAAGAAACAATATAAAAAAATATTTATAACAGAAAAAAAAATTACTTTAAAAAAATAATAAAGGCAAAAAGCTTTTATTAAACGAACAATAAACAAAATAAACTAAACAATAAAAAATAATTAAATTAAAATTAATTAAAACCTATTTCAAAATAATTAACAATTTATTCGCACTTAATAAAAATTGAGCTTAAAATTAAATTGATTACTTCTCATAATATAAGCGAAGCTTTTTGGAAAGACAAAGCTGTCTGCTCACGATCTGTTGTTGAACCATTAAAATCAATTGAATGTTGCCCAACCATACGTTATCACAATAGATAGCTCACTAAACGTGATTTCACTGTGAAAGTACTGAAGGGACCTGTCGTTAATTTTAATTTTACCAAAGGTTTTCCTTTGCTGTAGATCGTAGAGAAAGATTAAGTCAATACAATCATTTCAATGTGTGGAACCACTGTGAAATAGCTTAAAGGTAATTAGTTAAAGATTAGTAGTTGCGATGATATTTTGAGTGATGCCGGAGGTAGCATAGCTACTGGTACGGTCAACCTTACCGGTAAGGTCTTGAAGAAGCAATGAAACTAAGTGCAATCCACAACTTTTTAGCGTCTGTTTCACGCTCTATTATCTGTTGCGTCTCTATTAAAACAATAATTTCTTTAAAAATCCTGACCGTGTTCATCATAATTGAGTTTAAAGACTAAATTTATTACCTTTTATTATTACAGTATATTATTACTACTAGGTAAAGAGCTAGTCTAATGTAAGAAACGCTCGTGTTCTTTAAATGGGGTTAGGCCATTTAATTTAAGATGTACAGCATTTTCGTATTTAAATCTTTATAATATTTCATGGAAATGCCCTTTTAGTCTGCAAAACTGAGAAAATATTTCTATATTGAAGGGTGGGGCATCATTTAGACAAGATCACCAACTTGTCTATTTCCAAGATTTAATCTATTGATAAATCACATTAGGTGAGATTTTGTATTAAATCTTGATTTTATTTGCTAAAATTACCGTATACTTTATATAACATTTAAAATGATTTAAAAGTTTTTATGTTTAAATACTTTTTGACCTACAATGCACTAGGAAACAGTAATTACTCCCGTAGTTACCTTTATCAGTATTAAAATTTGCTTGAATTTGTATCTAGACTCCTGTAAACTCAAATGTCGAAAGTCTTTCTTATTTATAATCACCTGTTTGAATATATTTAATATTTTTAACTCGTTTAATAACCAGACACAGCAATTCTACGAGAGTTCCGTGCATGGTACATCCTTACTATACAGTAAATCGCTTGTTTTTTAATTTATTTTTCAGTAATTTATGATCGATGATTATATTTTAATATAAATATCTTTAAGAATTAACAGGTAATTTTAACAATAACTTTGCAATCGAAACGATTTTCACGGATGTATTGGAAAATTTTATTACTGACGAATTATAATCCTTTTTTACCTACAGGCAGCGAATATATTTTACCTGTACCTGACGTGCAAATGACCTTTCCTTTATCTGGAAAAATTTGCGTTAATGCAAGGTTACAAGGTTAATTAGTTTCAAGAATATTTAGTTTAGTTTTTAAAAATTTTGTATAAATAGGCCAGGATTTTTAAATAATAATCAGTATCTTGTCAATATTTGAAACAAATATAGACAGAATTACTTCTGAATTCTTTTAATTTCTTGAGGTGAACATTTTACTGTGATAATAAGTGCTAGCATATTGCAATTCAATATACAAAAAAGTAGCACATTGATAACGAGATGTCTGATCTTATGCAAGACGATGCTTCCAATAATAACGCTGACAATTTGGAAAGACGTGAGAGATTTCGTTTCGATTTAAAGAAGATCGAGGAAGAGTTTACCAAACTTGTTCCCGATTATGGTAACGAAATTACATCCAGTGAGAGTAATTCAGCTTCTTTGGAATTTGCCAAGATAATACTTTACGATTTTGGACCACATTCACGTCTGTTGAATCGTGCTACCAAAAAATTGTGGTTACTAAAAATGGATAACGGTCCTGTACCAGCTAATGTATTAATTTTGTCTTGTGAATCACTCGACATGCCAACAAGTGTGTCCCCTGATAATGTCCTAAAACTCACTATTGGTCAGGCTAGTTTGCTGTCACTTCAAACAATTTCTAAAGGAATGAATGCTTTTGTTGCCGAAGGCTTACGTTTATTAACGCCCTTTGGTCGTGCAATATTTAAGAGGGAGGATATCGAAACAATAGCAACAGATGTTTATGGCGATGCTGATCAAGCCTCTCTCGTATCAACATTGAATGCTATTAACGAAAGCTGTGAACCCGAAGGGCAGTATCTCCCACACTCTTTATGTTATATAGCAGTTATTTCAACAATTTGCAGAACGGTGTGGGAAGTTGAACGTGATGTCATTATTCGGAAAACAATAAGGCAATATGGAAAACAAGGAAAGTTGATGAACCTGGAAAAATTTGAGCAATGGGCGAAATATGTAAACGGTGAGATTTGTAAGGAACATCCACCTGAAGATTTGGCTAAAAGATTTGATGAAATGCGCACATACTTTACAGGTATATATGCCTATAAAGAAGAAGTTGCCAGACTATGTAATATTGATGACACTCTGTTCACATAAATAAACTAAATTTAAATGTATAATTCAAACTTTACTTGTAAAAACAGAATATCACTTAGCATAAATAAAGCAATATAATTTAAAAAAGTTTAGAATATTTATTCAATTTGCAGCGCTGTGAGATGTGGCTTGTAGATCCTGTAGGGTTCATATTCGAAAACGAATACCTTGTTTTTTGAGGTGGTGTTTATATTTAGGGATATCAAGTAATAATTCTGAGACTGTTACAAAATTTTAATTGAAATTTTATGAGAATTGGTGAATTTCTTTCAAAACATCTGTGTGTGAATGGTTTGCGTCTTGGGAAGATGAGAAAAATGAATTATTGATGACAAAATTTAAGGGGATGCAATTGAGATTGAATCCAGATTTACCCATCGAAAACGCCATTAGTGAGTGCAAGTTATTTAACCACATATATACTAATCTATACATTACTAATCTATTTGTAGATTTTGACAATAGGTTTTTGATATAAAAAAATTTAGCTTAAAGCAGAAAGTTTTGGATTTCTATTGTAAATTCTTTTTGGCAATGATAGAGCTTTTGCGGTTCTTGAAATGAATATAAGTTAAGGAAATGTGGAATATGTGTTGCTAAATAGTAAAAAGTTTTGCATGAGCTTTGAGGACATATCAAAAGCTTTTTAATTTTTAGTACTCAATTTGATATTATTTGGGACAAAATTTCGGATATTTATTATTTAGCTTTTGAAAATATTCAGCATTAAGCTTTTGAATACTTTAGACTTACACTATGAAAAAGCTCAGGACAATATTTAGAAATTTAAGAAAGTTAGCAAAGCAGTGTTCCGAAATAAAATTAACAAACAAACCACTTTACAGAATACACAGCAGGTGGCGTTTTCTACTTCAGGTCAAAATTTTTGACTTTACATCATTTAAACAATGTCATTTTTTTTTTAATTAATTATTATGGCAATAGAATGATTAACTTATTAACTTATTTACTTTTGTTATGAAATTAAGGACCAAGTGTACGGTGCATAAATTATTATCTTCTATATACATTGTAACAAGTTCAAGTTGTCAGAAGTTGTTAGTTGTCTCAGCTATCAAAAGTGATAAAAAACTTCAATTCGTGATTATTTTAAAATGTTACTTCCATAATTGACGATGCCATTTTAGTCACTTTTAGTTCCAACTAAAAGTCGAACCCAACCATGCTATGGTTATTTAAATATAATAATAGAAAGCCTAAATTTATATATTTTTATATGATTTTATATTTTCATAATTATGTTATGTTAAGCCTTTTCCGAGTTAGTGCATCTGGGTAGTTTTACTCTATGATGGCTGGGGGAATCTGTAGAGTCCCACTGACTAATTTGAGTATTCCTGATAATCTTCGTGATTATTTAATGATTGATCTAAGATCTGCGTACCGCCCCGTGCGGTTAGTGATTATTCTGAGATGAGGTAGTGCTAAGTAGGGCAGCCTGTCGGTTTCCGCATACAATAGCTACAGAGCTCTGTCCCTTATGTATTTTTTGACCGGATCTATTCTAAGGTCTCTTAGCGTGTCATTCGTGCGGATGTACCATGGCACTTTGAAGAGTCTTCGGAGAGCCTGACTTTGAGCAACTTGTAGTTTTTAAATAGTAAAGTCGACAGCTTTCCATAATTATTTAAATACCAAATATAGTTATGATACCAATAGATGCGAATACAAGTTGAATATTTTAAAACTTATTCATAATATATATTTAATACTAATTATAGGTATTAATAACGTGATACTCGTATAATTTTTTTTGACT